GCTGATCATTTCCATGGCCTCGAGTTTTCCGAAGTGCTTTCAGCTACTTACTTCTTGGTGCCATCGATGAGTGAACTTCCTTCTACATCTCGCAAGTCCTTATTGAAAGCACTGAATAGGGTCCAGGGCAGTCATCTTTGTTTCCACCTGAACTGCCTTGTAATGTCTTGAGAACTAATCTTCAAGTGATTGATAAAATATTGATGGTAATCCTATTTTACGGTGGTTGGATTTTGTCAGCTTTCTTATATGGGTGCTCTGTGAGACAGTGGTAAAAGCTATACTAAGCAAATCACAGACGATGCTTTTTCCTATCCTCTTGGCTGATTTCACTAGCAAAAGAATAAGTTTGATAACAATGTGATTGATCATGTAAAATTTTTTTGCCTTTTTTTACCCTTTGAGGTACAAATAAATTGTATGTCATGATTCATATTTGCTTGCATCCTATTTCTTGAAGTACAAAGTATTGCTTTTCACCATATCTAGGTAGAATTTCTGTGATCTACGCAAGTGTGGTGTTTTCAAATTTTACAATTATTAGTATTTTTAGTTCTTTACTGACTTCCAGGGAAAATATTTATCAGGCTTTGCCACTTTGAATGTATCGATTTTATGTTAAATTAGCCTATTCTTGCTCTAGCTCACTGTGATTTACCTGTTTAGGAAAGCTTAAGTATTGGTAACGATTCGTCCTTCCTTGTAGACAATAAAGGAGCAGCACCAACAACTTTGATTTTCTCCTTTTGTCTGTGCCTCATTTTTACAGAACTTGCCCTTCTTTCTGTTATGCCCTTTGCTTAGTGAAACTCTCAAAGGATTACGCTGCTCTTTACATCAGTTTATGAGGCCTTGTTTCCACTTCCATTTTTTCTTTGACACTTAAGGATGTGAGTGCTGTGTAATGATCTTGTCCTCTTCCCTAGTGATAAGGTGAATACTTACCTGGAAGTACTGTCTTGTGGCTCCTCTGGGTCCTGCTGATGCAAGGATGTGAATTGTGACCTTCTTGTGTGCACCCTGGGGAGGGGGAGGAGGATAGCCGATGGGCTTTTGTGCTGTCTGCAGATGAATTTATATTTGCATTGCATCTGCCACTTTGTATGAATATTCCCTAAATACTGTCCCATAACAGAAGTTGAAGTCATCAGTTATACCTCTCTTCCTTCTCTTATTCAGGGTGCTTACCTAGTCTTTCAGTAATTGGTGTGTTCTGTTGCGATGCTGTGGTTTGGTGTTTTTTCCGTCTGCGTTACTGTCAGCAAATGTGCACTGAAAGAATTCAGGGTGCGCTGCAGAGCTTAAGCCAGGTGACACACATTTCTGAAAATAAATGCTGTGCTGGTAATAGGCTCATAGAACGTATGAGTGTAGTTGTGCAGTTCATCGCACCAATGCAATGTAGTGATAATTTTAAATTTTAAATTTTCCACCAGAAATCTTTAGCACCTGAGTGACAAAGATGGGTTTTGCCTAAAAGGCGATTTAATTGAGCAGAGCAGAAATCCTACTAAAATGTTCTCTCTTTTGGTGGTAGGGTTTTTTTTGGCCTGTGGTTTTGCTGTTCACCAATTTTTCTTTCCCCTTCATCTGTGTTTCTAAATATATCTTGTTCTTTATGGTTGGAGTTTTACATATATTGGCAGCAATTTGGGGAAGGTCCAAATTGGAAATCCAGGTCTGCCTGGATTTAACACAATCTGACTTTTAAATAGGAAAAAATTTAAATTGTTTTTGAGAGGACAAGTCTCAAATAGAAAACAAGGTGAACAGCCTCTGTCTGTGCATCCTGCCAGTCTTCGCCACCTGAAACGTCATTTAAGCTTTTCAGTGTGAAATTTATGTTCCTCAAGCATTCTTCTGTGGTTCTTCTCTTTTCCCTGAGCTTTTCCTATGGGATTTTTTAAAAATAGAAAGATTTTAGATGGAACTATGATTCCAAAGTCAGCACACTTGATAGTTGGGATGCCCACACCCCCCAGCCTCTTTGTCCCAACACAGTGGTAGCTGTCATCACTGTAACTTCTGTAGATTCGGAAAGTGTTTGCAGTGTCAGACAATAACTACAGCTGATTTCTCCTCCTTCACCCTGGAGGAACTGACCTGTTGTAGTCTTGAGGATCTCCACAAAGAGAAACAAGCCAAAAAAGGATTATGTTTCCAGAAAGTTCGAAGATCTGCATTTGAGGTCTTTATTTTTGGGCTGGAGGTGCGCGGTTTCATGTGCACTGGAACAGTCTTGCAGCAGTATTCTTTTGAGTTAAAACTGCCTCCACTGAAAGCTTACAGTTTTCATGCATGATTTCTTTTTTAACTACAGAAAAGAAAAATAGCCCTAATTTCAAAATAGATGTCTTTGTGCTGTTTAGTGATCATCTGGACTTTGTATGCGGTATCGCTGGTTTACAAGAATGAAGAGTGGCTGTATGAACGCCACAGGGTGCCTTGCTGTTGTCAACACAGCATCTGCGTTGCCTTGCTTTTTGTGACACATCTGAGAGGCTTTACGGTTTCTTCTGATGGATGCTGCTCTTTCTCTTCTCCAGACACCATTGCTTCTTAAACGATTACAGCCGAGTCTTGCCCAAGTTCTTTCCTTGGGTCTTTGTACGTTATTTGAACACTTGCAAATTTAATCTTTCTAAGACACAATCATAATAAAACCCGGTAGGTGAGGTGGAAGTCCGTCTGTCCAGCTTAGTGGTCTGATTTTTGCATTTGCTGACTGGCTGCAGCTCTTTGTGGGAACTGTAAATGGTAAGCAGAAAAAGTGACACTCACTAATGGGCTGATTCTTGAAGTTGTTCAGCAAATTCAGCTTGTCTTAGGTGTTTGGTTTTGGTTTTAAATTGTGTAGGGACATTAATTAGTAGTAATTAATTATTAAATTAACCCCAAACCCCACAGCAGGCACGTGAGACAGGAAGTTGCATGTCCCAGGAACACTGCTATTGCATTGATGGCCTAATGCGTATACGTTTATGATTGTGTGCATGCTGCGTGTAGCTGCTCCGGAAAGGTCTGCTCTTGGTTATCTTTGTTATGCTACTCTGTAGTCTGATTTTTTTAACCATTATTTCAGAAATATATTTGAAAATTGGGTATTTTTAGTTACATGAGCTTTAAATAAAATAAAGAATAATGGTGAAAATCAACACATTTCTACTTAGTGATTAAATTTGCTACTCAAGGTCCAAAACAATAATAATTTGGGCTGCAAAGGAACAAGAACATGGCCATATCCTAAACATATTGTATGTGCTTTTAATGAGGTGAGGAGAAGGTATTCTTGAGCTGTCGTTTATTCTTTACTATTTTTTGATCTTTGTGTTTCTCTTTTGCTTAGTTCTATTACTGCAGTTGTCTTCTCAAGTTTGTAATGTGTCTTTTTAAACTGGCAGCTGTTGTGTATGGGAGCATAGAAAAACCAGTGAAGATTACTAATGCGCTTTGAACTTTTGAATTGCACCAAACATGCAGTGATGCTCTGAGGATGCATTTAGCATTTTGCAGGGATTGTTTTAGTGGCGTTTCCCTTTGTCATGGTAATATGTTTATTATAGAAAGTCACATTAGATGTTGGCATTTTCTGGTGGTTTGAGTTTGGGGTAGTTTGACATCCTGCCAGGATACACGACCCTGAGGAATACACAGGGAGCTGTGCCTGTGTCTCGCTATACTGATAGCCTGTGGCTGGGACAGCTCAATCACACACACTTTTTGTAAATCTTACAGATTGGGTGACTCTCTAGTCAGAAACTTGACAGCAACTTTGTTGGTAGCTGCTTCTTATTACAAGGTTTGGGATTACAGGAGAAAGTCTAGCGATGCGGCACGCTTGTGTACGTTGTGGGAACTGTAGCAACATCGCCGTGTTACCCCTGGGTTTCCTCTTGGGTAGCCTGTATTCCAAGGCTAGCTGAACTGAGGTTTTCGCTGTAGTACAGGGAGAGGGCTATAGTTCTTCATGAAGGGTTGGTATTGTTCCAAATTTGAGAGGCTTAAAAGCCTGGCTTTAAAACAGAAATTAATCTTTAACTTGAATATGTATGTGCTGTGGCTGCACCAAAATATATACGCTTGCTTTTGGATACTTGGGATTTTAGTTCATATATGGGGGTGTTTTGGTGGTTGTTAAATTATTCATTGCAATGAATATCCTCTTCCCCCTCCCCTTTTCTTTGACTTGTAAGGGAAAGGTGAAGGCAAGCTGTCTTGACTTGATTACTAATTCAAATATTACTGTTAATAATCCTTCCTGTAGCAGATGTGTGCAGCATGTAACTGTCAATAAAAATCTATTTTGGGAGTTATTTGAAAAGTTGGTAGCTCGGTTGCCTTTTTGGTTTAGGGTTCTTGCGCTTTATCGTTGCGTTGTAATTGTAACTTTGAATTCATTTTTATGCCAGCAGGTGTTAACTTTTAAATTTGTTGCTTCCTGTTGTTACAGGAAGAAGGCATGGTTGAGATAAATTATTTTCCTCCTGAAGGCTTGATTGACTTAATGTACTTTCCATACTACGGGAAAAGCTTGCATGTAAGTATGCCTTACTGGTGGTCTTGGTTTGTAAATGTTTTGTTTCTGTTTATGGTTATGATTACTAACATCAGATGGATTCTGAAGTTTGAACTTCGTAATGAGGTGCTCGTAAGGAACATGACATATGGGGAACTTTCACAGTGCTGGATGAGATTAGAGATATGCTGTAGCAGGTGTAAGGAAATAAAGAGAGCGTTGTCCTGAGGAAGAGTAGGCTGTATACTAGCAGTATGAAGGGCGTCTGCTGCTTTTTGGTCACTGGTGTCTTTTGGAATCTTTGAATGCAGGGAAAGGTAGGAAACGTGAACTGGTTCTTTGGATTACAATACAGTTTCTAATAGTTAATCCTTGGGGTGTATGTATAGGATATTAAGTTTATAATTCACTGTAGTATTGTTGATTCTGTTTCTTTATGGCTCTTTGGTTATGTTTCCTATTTGCTCTGCTTTATGAAGAAGCACTTCAAGGTAGCAGATAGTGGATTTTTTTGTTTGTTTGGGGTTTTCTGGGTTTTTTTTTCCTTATCTTTGTTTTTCTTTGCTTGCTCCATCTACCCTCACTGTATTCTGACATAAATCTTATTTATCTAATTGAAGAACACTTATGTTTAAAAAAACACCAAAGGTTTATGGACACAGAATACGTAGAGTTAAAACTCTGGTTTCTTTTCAAACTTTAATTAAATTAATTCTTTCTTTTCTTGCGTCAACTTCTGATAACTACATACAGAAAATCCATCACTTCGATCAAACATAAAATGATATTGCCTCTTCTTGACCAAGTTGTTTAGTCTAGTAAACATCTGCACTGTTCACTACTGAAGACAACAATACTTTTTAAACATAAATCCATTAGATCCATAGTATACCACAGCCGTTGGTTGTATTTTCCCCAAAGTGATTTCTGTACTAAATTACTCCTTTATCAGTTATTCCAGCTTCATCAGGGGCCCGTCTTAAATGGCTCTATGCAAATGCACAGAGCATAGGAAATAAGAGCAGTTAGAGATGTGCAGATGCGTGAGGGGCTGTGACCTCATT